ACGGGGTTGGGAGAGACCAGAAACTGACGCCCGGCTCCTCCTCACCTCTGCAAGGCCCTCTCTGAGCCAAGTTTCACAGGGGCCTCAGGACTGAGCCCCACGTGGGCGGAGTCCCTACCTGGAGGCGTCACTGGCCTCTCCCTCAAGCTCTCCCGGGTTCTGGGGGCCTAGAGAGGGGTGGGGTATGTTGGGCCAGGGGGAGCCGGCGCGGCACACCCCAGTGTCTATAGGGGACCTGGGTGACCGTCCCAGCTCTAACAGACCCCGCAGAGGGTCCGAGATGCTCTCCCCTGGCTCAGTCAGGCCCCTCGGAGGTGACACACAGGGTGAGACGCCACGTCCGAGGGTGGGCTTTCTTTCTAGGACCAGAGCTGCATGGGCTCTGAATCCCCACCCCAGGGCGTGACCTCTTGGTCAAGGGTAGGTGATGCGGTTACTGCTGGCGCCCCCGCTGTGTGACGTCACGAGGGAGCAGTTGGGCAACTAAAGAAGCAAGGGAGATGGGGACGGAGGCGGTGTGCAGGCTCGGATGGAGCAGGGGGAACCCGGAAGTGGGTGGGCAGAGGCCAAAGCGGACGATGGAGACAGGGCAGCCAGGGAACCAGGGAGACGGAGACAGCCAGGCCACTGGGGCGGACGGGGTGGGACTCACGTTACTGGTCTTTGTGCTGCCCTGGCCCCGGCGACTGAAGTGGCCAGCCAGTCGGTGTAGCACGGGGCGGCTTTGCCTTTTGGAGGACCGAAGTTTGGAGCTGGCTCCCCTCCTGCTAAGGGAATTTTCTGTGGGAGGAAGAGAGGGTGTGAGGGTCACTTCCAAGGGGCCAGACCTTGCCTGGGGCCAGGTGGGTCTCAGGTGACGCTGGTCAAGGACTTCTGGTCCTTCCTGCCTCCCACAACTTGCAGTTACCATGGTTACTGTCCCCATGGACACCTGGGGGCCCAAGCCCTGGGCCTCTGTGCTGAGTGATGTCCTTGAAGGAGAAGAGGAACAGCACGACCTCACCCATCTCGTTCTTGATCGGCATCATGTCCAGGAGGCACCAAAAGGCCAAGCCTGCGGGCGTGGAGAGGCCGGAGAGGATGAGCCGTGCCCCCTATGCACCCGGCTCTCCTCAAGGCCGAGAAAGTGAGGGAGGCACTCGCGGCTCACCGTCCTTGCGGTAGAAGCAGAGCTCAGCCCGGTGCTCCTGGTGGCCCTCCAGGGCCTTGTGCAGCCGCTGCAGCGCCGGCTCACTGGTCTCCGGGCCATAGAGGAAGCGGCAGCTGCAGGTTTTCTGCATGACCTCGGTGCGGCCGTAACCTGTTAGCTCGCAGAAGCCGTCGGAGCAGTACACGATGGGAAAGCCCCGCGGGCCCTGCGCGTTGGCCAGCAGGAAGTTGCTGTCTGTGGGGACAGAGGTCAAGGTCAGGGCTAGTCTAGGAGAGGAGGGTGACCTGGGGCAGCGGCTCCCCTAGGTTGTGTCACTGAGCCAGCAGCTTCCCCTAGCGTCACACTGAATAAAGGTGAGAGAGAGCACACAGGGACAGGGACCTAAGGGCGGCCAAGGCTGAGGCCAGACAACTGAGGTGCTGGAGAAGGAACCCTAAGGGGCCACCCCTGCCGTCAAGCTCCAGGCGTGCAGGGCAGTGGGGAAGAGCCTTCGAATCTGCTGGCCATTTACGGGCTGTGACCTTGGGCAAGTTAATGATCTCTCCTGGGCCTCGGTTTCCTTATCCGCAAAGTGGGACACAAAGCACCTTCAGGGTTGTGAGTTGCGTCACTCACTTGGGAGAACAAGTCCTTAGTGAGAGCGGCTCCACACAGGCAGAATGACGCCCTTCGCTCAGCTTTGGGGCCGCATACATGGCCCGTTATCCTATGACAGTGACCAGGGTGAGGATCCTGATGGCCTCGCACCCTTTTATTTTCCAAACTCACAAATTTCCTTAACGTGGGGGGAAGGCAGGGCTGAGCAGGGTCCTCATGCCTGCCTTCCAGGAAAGGTCCCACTTTTAACGTTCCTTTAGCTGTCCTCAGAGATCTGATCCCAGGGCTGGACATCAGGCTGGAGAGGGCAGTGAGGGTGGGGACCAGCGACCCCAGCAGCAGAACTGGACTGGCTCTCTGGGCGCCAGCGGAGGGAGGTTGTGGGTTATCCGGGGACAGTCTCCTGAGGAATGGGGCTTAAGACACGACCTGCGCTGGGGCCTAGGGAAGGCGATAGTCAGGGCGGTGGGGTGGCTGATGGGGACACGGTGCCTAGGAGGCCCTGGGTGCAGTCTCCTCCTTCCATCCCAGGGCCTGTTGCCTCGGAGATGGGCGCTATGGAAACAGGGAGGTGTGGGGGGAAGGGGGAGGCAGGGAGGGCACCGGCGGCTCGTTTCCGCCCTCGGGTGCTGCTCCCCCGCCTGAGCCCCGTGAGGGTTCCCGAGGGGGCAGGGGAGCGCTCTGGGCCCAGGTAGGGAGAGGGGATGGTGGGAGAGGAGCCCGGAGGAGCGGCGCGGCTGTCCAAGGTGCTGATACGGGACCCGCGCTCTGGTGAGAGACGGGTCCCTGTGTCGCTGGGACGCCCCATCCTTTCCCCGCTTCGGTCATAGGCGCCCCACTATTTGGGGGCTGGTGACCCTAATCCAAACGGGATCATGCCGCGGTCCATCTGCTTCTCTTTCCGGGAGGCAGGAGAGTTGGACGGGTCCCCAGGACGCCCCACCACTTCATCCCGCCCCCGGCCTCGGCACCCCACGCGGGTCACACCCCTTGCCCGTCCCACTCGCGCTGGGCTCCGTCCCCCGGCTGGGGCGCCGGGTCCGCAGCGGCAGCGGGGTCCCCAGCCCTCGGCCCGCCCTACTCACGCGTGCCGTCAAAGCGGGTGGCGATGGTGTCCAGGAAGGTGTTCTGCGGGGCCAGCAAGCCCTTCATGACCGGCATGGCCCCGGGGCGAAGCTCCACAGCGAGCCGCGCGGCCGGGCCGGAGGGGGCGCCCCATGCGCTCGCCGCGCCGC